AAAAAAAATATATATATATATATATATAAAATAGATATAGGAAAAGGAAAATGAAAAAAAGAAAGAAAAAGAAAAAATAATGTGTCAAAGTGAGGAGAGAGAGTGGGTGTAAGATTCGTGGGTTTGGTTTGGGATAGCAGCATCGGATCAGTTCGTGCATATGGTCTGACCTGTGTCGAGGCATGGGTTTTATATCCCAGTTGTTTCGGCTATTAGTGGCGACAGAGGAAAGGAGTTCGGCCATGGGTGGTCTGGTTTCTGGGTTTGAATGTTGGTGCTCCGGTAGGGAGTTGTAAGCTTCTGATGAGCTCGCGCCATGGGCGACGCGTGGTGGCGCGTTGGCTCTGACTTGGCTAACTCGAACAATGGCACAGGAGGCTGCTGGTTGAAGTTCCCAGAAAAATTAGCACGCGGCTGTGCAGGTTGATTACGTGGAGCCGGAAAAGTTGTCGGCTGTCCAAGTTGACCAGCATGAGCCTGAAAACTTGTCATTGGTGCATGGCGAAGGTGAGGGAGGCTTGTGATCAAGCACTTGGTAGCAAAAGAATGCACGAAGATGGTGGTAGTGAATCGAACAGAGAAGAGAGTGGCTGCAATCCGTGAGGAGTGAAGGTATGTGTACAAATAAACGGAATAGATTGAGGTCCGGCGGACGGCTAAGGTGAGGTTGCCGCCCGCCGGTGAAGCGAAAAATATTAGGTTCTAAACCTGCTCTGATACCAAGTTAAAATAACTGATGTATTATTATTGATGTGTATTGTTATGTTTACAATGATCATATATATATAGAAGAAAATGTGGTAGTAGGTGTAGGTGGTAGGTGGAGTGAAGTGGAGGTGGTAGGTGGAGTGGGTGGTAGTGGAGGTGGTAGGTGGAGTGGTGATTTATTATTTACAATTTACATTAACAGGCCAGTTGAACCTGACCAAAAACACATGCATAGACACAAACATGCACATACTCATTACTCAAGTGACAACTAACCCACAGCCCCCCTCCCTTCCATTGTTGAATTAGAGGAAGATCTATGCAATCTTATTGGTTGCCAAGTTATTTGGAATTCAGTAAAGCCTTTTCTCAAAATACTTGGGGTTGATAACTTGATTTCTGTTTTGCCATGCTTCTTGTACCTCAACTTAGATTAAAAAATGGCCGTGTAGAATTTGTGAGGATTGAGAAAATTTAAAATCCCTAGTTACTAATGAATGGTACTTTAAGAAACTGAGATGGAAGCAACACGGTTCATTTAGCTGATACTGACTAATCATAAGAAGGAACCAATTCTAAGGACAAAAAGCATAGGAATGAAGAAAGTCTATAGATATGAAAGTAAATTCAACACTACAACATTTTCCAAACTAATCGTGTGTGTGTGTTAAAACAAGAAACTAATCCATCAATTTATATGTCAAATTCTTATTCTAGGAGTAATAAGAATAGCACTAGAGTTATAAATTAATTTACATAATTGCTCATTCGAAGACCTCTATAAAAAACTTTTGAGCTATAATTTGCATGAATTCAAAGGTTCATCAACCCCCCAACCAAAAAAAAAAGGGGGAAAAAAATAAAAATAAAAAGAAGAAAAGAAAAGAAAAGAAAGAGAATGTAATCATATAACCATAAACAATAGGAGAAGAAAAAGAAGAAAAGTAGCAACTACAAACAGTTTTTAACTCAAGCAATGCACCTCTTAACTTGCACCAAAAGGAAAGACGCCTACATGACAACACACCTTTAAAGAGCAAAATGACATGCAGAGATTATCAAGTCTTCCTGAGAAAATGAATTCCTTTGTGGCTCCAGCAATTATGCTTGGTTGTGTATCACATGCTTGCAACTCAAAATCACATATGTCGTCTGGTTCACAACCAACCTCAGCTGCAAGAAGCTGTAAGAAAGGAGAAAAGGAACACAAGAATCACAACCAAAGGATACCCATAATCGCTATCGACCAAGCTGAGATTCACTTACGTATATGAAATCTCTAGCCTATAAAATCTCAGCACAAATGTCAAAAAACAAAATAACAAGGATAACAGCCCACAATAAACCTTGAGCTGACCAGTCTACCTGCAAAAGAAGGGAATGGTGCTTTTGGTTGTCAGTTTTTGACTTTTCATTAGACCTATTTCCATCAGTTGAACTTCCACTTTCAGCTGGACTGTTCTTGAAAACCACTTTATTAAGCTCTGCCTATCCAAAATACATCAGCTTCAGTTGAATGGATGAAATCATGAATTGTAACAGAAGGCAAGTATTTTCACTCAATCCCAGCGCCCAACGCCCAACCCCAAAAAATAAATAAATAAAAGGACTAAACACAAACACAAACTGGTAAGCATGATATTGATATCGAGATCAGATTGCTTGGTGTGGACATTTATGCCAACATAAATTGTCTTCAAACAGTATAGCATCACTTTTGTTTTACATTGAGCACTCGGCCTCCATGAAATGATGTTGCATTTGCCCCAACAGATGACGGGTCCTTGTCCTTTCCCAATACTAATATGCCATGATTTCAATTGCCACATTAGATGGTCAGTTTGATAAGGAACCTTTTGCAGTTGACAACAAAGCCAATTTTGTGCATCTTTTGAATAATTCAACAATAACATTTTTTGTGCTCATATTAGAACAAGCATTTTCCAACTTTTAATTGAGTGAAATTCAATTGCCATAGGGATAAATCAGCTCTGTTAACCAAATATGATTATAAGGTATAGGCCATTTGTTTTTGAATCAGGCTAATGCCCAACAATAATTCTTGCCTGGAGTCCTGGTTAGATTAAGCAAATTGTTAGTCAAAGACTACCATAAATGACTTCCATTGACTTCAAAGATGCATAAGCTAAACCTATTGAATTTATAATTGGCAATTAATATAATTCCAGTCTCTTGCTGCGAAAAGAAAAAAAGGATCCACCAATTAAAAGATTGACCACCCAGCTTCTCTCTTCCACCATTCCAAATATTTGACCTAATTTCACAGACTTCATCATAGTGATTGTGATCCAATGTCATTACGAAGCCCACTGCCCTTAGATTTGATTGAGAGGACAAAGTTCTTCACATTGAAGCCCTAAATTCATTCCTCAACATAATAAACATGCAATGACTAGATTTACATTGATATTATAGTTGTATTAAGACACAATCATTCCTTTATTGCCTAAACATAACTCTAAGGTTAAAGCTTAGATGTTTAGGGAATGATCTGTTTGGTGTTTAAAAGAGTGCTGTACTGCTTGCTCTGGCTTTGGTGCTGTTGTGCCTTATATTTCTGGTTTTCTGGTTTTTGTTTCCTCTGCTTGTTGTGCTTGTTGGTTTCTCACCAACTAGGAGGTTGGAGCTTGTTTTAGCTCCAAGCTCCTCTTTATTGATGTAATTTTAAAAATATTTCATCAATAAAGTCTTCTTTTCGCCGACCAAAAAAAAAAAAGGTTAAAGCTTAGATGAAGCACGTTAGAAGTCTATATGACAGTGTAATGGCATGTACAAACTCAACTTGATAAAGCCCTAAACCAACTAATTTGGGCAGCTATACAAATCCTATTTTGCCTTTGAACTCTATCTAAGGTCATCGTTTCAGTTAACCACATGCTGTCATATTTTTCCACACCGTCTCAGTGGCATTCGTGTATTGCGATGCAAACTTCCAGCTACTCTAACCGTCTGTACTCAATGCTTTAATGCTCACCAAAAATACTGATGCTATAGACTTGCTGATTTTCTGGAAACTAGACGATGGTTCATTTCTCTTTGACTATTTGTTGATATAAATGGATTTTCATATAACAGGAACACATGATGCATGAACTCATCCCAATACCGAATTTGATCCTAATCCTTCATATTTCAAATATTTTAATATAGTTCTTGTCAAATGTTAGTATTAAGAAAACATATTTAACTCTTCAAGAATTCACTGGAGTAGTTAAATTTCCACTTGCTTATCCTTTTAAATGATCTATAGCAAGGATATATGCGCTCTAATCTACACTATTTGCCACATTTAAAAATTTAAGACGAGAATTTTAAAATCATAAATACGAACTGTACTGTACTTGGCTGATTCCAAAATTACCTTAATTGATGTTGCCAAGACTGGAACAAGATGACTCTGGGTGTTCACCTTAAATCCATCATTAACATCCCTGTCCAACAAAATGCAAACAGATATGTCCTTAGTGAGTAACAAGAAGGATAGAATTCCCATAAACAAAACATACAACATCCAAAAACAAGCATCAAACTGAATATAATAACAAAGTACCTGTCCAAGTGAATTGCCAAAGTTGGGATTCGCATTATGGGCTCTGCAATCCTAACTAGTCGATGCGAGTAGGAAACATTGCCATCTTTCCCTTCTCTTATTATCAACCTTCCAGCAACAGTTAAGTCCCGATCAAACCACGTGTGCCATAAACCACCTCCATAAGTTTGGACACCAACTTCCAAATACCCACCTTTCGATACCTGAATGAAATGAGGCATAAATTTTTAACACCAAGCGAAGCGAGTGATGTTTGCAGTTTACAACTAAGCAAATGTGAGATTACCTTTGAAACGGGCTTCAGTTTCAAACAAGGACTGTCAGTATGAGCACCAATTACATGGAATCCATTTCCCGCAACATATCTGAACAAAAATCCATGATATCGGCCAAATCTTCAATTATATATATAAAAACTTACGCATTTTTTTTATTCACCCAAAAAAAGTCATTAGTTTTTTAGTCAACCAAACGTGGGAATGAACATATTGATGCAATGATCATTCCATTCTGTTTCATTCCAGTGAACCAAATATTAGCTTAAACATTATAAGGTATATGCAGGACAATGAAAGATACGATATTATTGAATCACAAATCATTATTCAATTTTGGTTTGTATTGTTGAATTTTGTGAGAAATGGCACATACTTTTTACCGATTGCAAAAGCGACAATGGTAGAGTGATTCCTTGTGAAGAAGTAGGTCTTTCCGGCTTCTAAACTCCAATCTTCTCTCTCCGAAACTTGCTCATATCCAGCACTAGTCAGTCTCTTCTTGGCTTCGTCTGAAAAATTATTATTGTTATTATTATTGTTTAACAGAGCAATGATTAAGCAACTCCAAATTAATTATGATTTACCAATCAAGACAAGAAAACCAAGTCCTACTACCGTTTGGTTGCTGAGAAAAAAACATACAAAAAGAGTCTGGACAGTTGTTTTACCGAGTTCCAATTCATTTGTTGATTTATTTTGTTTCCTCTTACAGTTTTTCTCAACAACCAAACAGAACAGGCCTTAATGGAGACAAAAACAAAGCAAATAGAAGAGCATTAGCATTACCAACAGCGTGGAATGCCGTGGGAGAAGCGTTCAAGAAGTCCACTAGATCGGCCGCCACCGAGGAGGTTCCTTTGCTCTGTTGGTGTTTCGCCATTGGATGGAGATGCTCTGTGTCTGTGGTGTGCTCTGACTCCCCCCAGTTCTGTCTCAAACGGTGAATTGAATTGCGTCCTATGCATATTTATATCCATCTAGAGTGTAGAAATTTTTGTATGCCAATACTAGGCCCAAGGATCCCTGTACCCAAATAGGAACAGGGGTCCTGTTGTGCTCAAACCACAGTAGTGATTGTGGTGCTTCCGTTTGAGGTGTATTATGGTCTTATTTTTATGATCTAAACTGTTCATATTGTAGGGTTTCTTGAGTACTTCATGCCTATCAAAAATCATATTAATCGGATATCAATAACTATATGATCGAATCGCATATTATTTATGCTATTTCTCAAAAGAAAAACTTATTATTTATTTTTTTGGTTATCGATCGTATAGTTTTTGATATCCGATTAATATGCTGTCCTCCTGTGTCAAATCCCTCATAATTATTAAATATATTTTGAGATTTTTAAATTTTTAAATTTTCATATGATCCAATAGTTATCAATAATTTGGGACAGAGAATAAAAATATTTGGAACATGGATCCTTACTCAGTAGGGCCAAGGATCCCTGCACTCAAATATCCTGTCTTCTTGTCCCAAATTATTCATAATTATTAGATATATCTTGAGATTCTTAAATTTTGAGATTTTTGTATGATCCAATAGTTATAAGTGATTTGGGACAAAGAACAAGGATATTTGGAGACAGATGATCCTTATTCTAATAGCAGCACGTGTATTATCTTTCATTAATCACAAATATATATCTTTTCTTAAATACTCAACCTAAATACAATAGATTCTATTATTAAATTCAAACATAATAAAAGGTATCGCATAACATATATATCTTATCTGCATATAAAAATTTCTCTCTTGGAAGAACTGTGAGAAAGCATGATAAAGAAGCTGTGAAATTCTAGCGTGAGATTTACTGAGAGAGAGAATATGTGCTTTGCTTTGCTTAGGCCCATTCGAATTTTCCGATTCTCCACTATTGACAGCTCGTTTAATGTTATACTTCACTAAAGCGCGGCAAATTATTTGGTGGTTCTAGGCAATGGCTAGGTTGGTGGTGCTCCTATGATTGGTAATTTTGTATTATGTCATAAGAAAAAAATAGATTATAATATTTAATGATTAGTGTGATGTATTGTCAAATGTTACCTACGAACTACCTAATAATTTTTCTTAAAGCAGTAAAATCTATCACACACACATCTTAGGAAAAAAATGTGTACAATATATTCTAATTATAACTTTTATGTTTGTTTTTTTAATTTTATTTATTATGGTCCATTATGATATTGATAGTAACTTAGTTATAACTTATTATAATATTGATTATGATGATGTGGTGTGATTATTACTTTGGTTAAGACTAAATAGAACTTTGATTATGCCTTAATTATTGCTTGCTTATGACACATTATAATATTAGTTATGATTCAGTTATGACCTATTTTGATTGTAATTCTAGTTATGATCGAAGAATTTTTTTTTATTATGCCATAAAGGTATTTAGTTATGATCCATTAAAAAGTAATTTGTTGAAGAATCAACAGATGAGTTGTGGTTAGGAGTGAAATGCCACTTGAACTAGAGTTAGTTGGTTGTCCTTGAAATGTGTTAAGGCACAACAGTTGATTGGACATCTAAAACACTATTTCAGTGTAGGCTGTGAAAGCGGTATCAAATCGAGACAAATTCTTATGACTCTTGTGATATTACCACCACAAATTATCATTACTTGTAAATGGTACATCCTTTTTTGATGGGTGTGTTTTGTAGTATTATCCAACCTAAACAAAATTATTTATTTTTTTGGAAACTCAGTCTAAAGGTTCATTTCCTATTAAGTCATTAGGCTCAAGGTTGAATCTTTTAAGGCCATATGAACAACAATAATATGAAAGATCATATTACCCCTATCTAGTTAACTGTCATTTATCCGTCTAAATGTCATCTATCTATCCATGTGTCACCTATCTGTCCAAGTTTCACTTATCTATTGCGAAGTCCTAGGTCTCGAACCCAACTTGAACGTGCCTTTCGGATTTACAATTTTCTTTTTTCAAAACCTTGAAGGGTTGTATTGCATCGATGTTTGGGAATTTGAATTGTTTAATCTTCTTAACATAAGACCAAGTTAAAATTTCGAGTTTCCACACGTAAGGACGAAAAACGAAGCCATGGAATCACCTTGGGAGGATCAAGGTTGGTCAGGTGGTCCTGTACGTGCGGTAAGTAGACCCTACGTGTGGATTGGTGCAGGCCAGTTGGAGTTTTCTAGGTAAGGTGAGAGGCTTCACACGTGTGGTAGTGAGTCTCGCACGTGCAAAAGCAAGAGTGCAAACTTGGGTTGGTGATTGGGAGAACCCGCACGTGCGGTTGGGAGATCCTACACTTGCAGCCTGGACTTTCGCATGTGCGGCTAGACATGTTTTCTGCTTCGAATTTCTAACTATTCTCTCTCAAATCTGATCACACACCTCAATTTTCATCACTTTTTCATATCTCTCTCTTTTTCTAAACTCTTATTTTCTCTTTTCTCTCATCTCTCTTTAAAAACATCCATTCATCCTCATTTCTTCTCTTGATCTAGCAAGATCTATAGAGATTCTGGTACTAGTTCCATAACGACGAGCATTCCAAGGGCTACATTATAGCAATTGTGGTTTAAACTTGACCCATTTGATGTTCTGGATCCGGGTTTTATTGTTTTATATAATTGCTCATGTCTTATTTTTCCTTATTTCTCATTGAGTTTGGTTATTGGAGTGTCTTGGTTGCGTTTGGAATAGGTCGGGAATTAGTTTTTAAAAATGGTTTCTGCTTAGATTTTGGCTTCTTCACTTGAGCGACATTTCTTGCACTTGAGCGGTCATTCTTGAGCTCGAGCGATGGTCCTCTGTCTATAAAACTTTTGTGAGTTTGTATTCTTACTCGAGCGGTCACTTTGTGCACTTGAGCGGTCACACTTACTGTGTCTGATCGCTTGAGTGACACTTCTTGCGCTCGAGCAGTCTGCGCGTATATCAGTCCATGAAAGTCACTTTTTAGATCACTTTTTCATATCTTTCTCTCTCTAAACATTCTAAAAACCCTAGATCTAGAGCTTCTCTCTCTAGAAGAAAAAGGGGTTTTGTCCTAAATATCTCAAATGTTGATTTTGTATAAATAATCGGAATTGATGTTGGAAATATGAAATTGAGTTGATATTGATGAGAATGGTGGGGTTAGGTAAGTATTACCACTTGCATCTTGGAATTTAGAAGTTTATCTTTATGAGAATTATCTATTTGTTTAGAGATATTTGTTTTGGGCTATCGGTAGAAGAAAGCTATGATTGTTGTAGAAATTGCATGAGGATTAAGTGAATTAAAACTAATTTCTTATCATTTGCATTGAGCATTGTTTCATATGTACTACATTGAAAATGTGCATTGTTTCGAGAAAAAATGGGTAAATTTGGGAAGTGTTGTCTCGTTGAAATAAGTTGGCATGTGTATCCATGTTGAAAGTCCTAAAAATTGTGTGTTTACATAGGTGCCGATCTTACAGACGAAATTTCCGTGAAATGGCAATAGTAGTGCTTGTATAGCTTATGTTTATGTGGGTGCCGGTCGACGATTTCCTACGAATGAAATTTTCGTGAAAGGTTGTATTTGTTTTGACATTCCTGGAGATTGTGATTCACTAACCTGTTTTCTATTATAATAGGAAATGATTTTATGAATTGTGGCATCAATCTGGCATTACATGGTTTGAAAAGAAATATAAAATGTTTTGGCACGAGCATTGCATATGCATTAAGCTTATATCTTTGTTAAGATTCATATCTTGTGTTGGATTATTTTTACTGGGCTTTGGCTCACTCTATATGGGAAACCATTTTCAGGTGTTGATGATATGTCTCCACCAAGATCATAGCTTGGGAGGAACTTGGAGCTGAAGGTTTCTTTTTGATTATCTGATGTATTTGTTTTGTATAAGCCAAGGGCATTTAACTGTATTGGATTTTAAACCCATCTTTGTTGTAACCAAGCATTGTCTTGGGAAGTTGTAAGCCTTTAAGGCATTTATTATCTGTTTAACTTTGATTTCATAATTCTCATTATAACACATACTATAGATTCAGGGTTAGGGCTTATGAATGTATAATCGCATATGTTAACTTTTGTATATCTACATCATATGAAATGGAAGGACATTATAATCAGAATGCTTGTCATTTATTTATTATCGAGAAAAGAGTCTATTGCCATTCATTTTGGGGCGTTACATACATTTTGACTAGTGGAGATCGATTTCCAGTGAAATTGGTTTATGGGCTTTTACTCATTTTTTTCTCTTTGAGGTAAGAATTTCTTTACTCCTTTTCAAAACCTCGTTATAGATAGACATGTAATAGTTTTTATTGCATTAAAAACTTGAATTGTTGGGTGTTTTTTTTTTTTTTTCTTAAAAGAATGTGATGAGGGTTAGGGTTTCGTGGTTTGGAGTTAAATCTTATGTTTTGTTGTGAATCCATGAGATTGTATGTTTGATGAACATATTTATATGATTTAAAGTAAAAAGCCCTAATTGTTTGTCTATTGGTTATGAGAAAAAGATGAAAGTTGTTGATTTAACATTATTTGAACTATATGGAGTATTGCGTATTAGAAATGTGAAAATGGGTATAAGAGAAAAATAAAGAAAGTGATCATGAATTTTATTTGTGTTAATTATGAATAATACTAGGGATCATGAAAAAAGTATCATAAAATGCATCATGAAAACCTTTTATCCTTTGATTAGTGTGTGGTGTTTTATTGTGTGTGTAATCTAAAGGTGGAGAATCTTTTATGATCATTTTCATAATATTTTTTTCATGATCCCTAACATTACTCGTTAATTATTGTTGATGGTTTTATAATTGTTGAGTTGTAATGATTGTCGTGAAATCGAGATTTCAGGGAAATGAAGAGGGTGTTGGATTATGATTATAAATTGACTAGTTGAGTTCTAATGACTAGAGGGAGAATTGATAATTTGTTGTGCGTAATGAGAATTTGGAATCAGGGGAAATA